GATTTTAACCTTGATGACATGAGTTTGGGACTACTGCAGCTATCTTGCCACCAGGTCCTAGATGTGCCAGGGACCTCCTCGTGAAGCTCAAGACTGAATTCAGCACACAGGTGGGAGGAGCCCAGAGTCTGAGAATATGGCTTCTAGTGATACTGTCTAAGCCTTGAACCCCATTGTTTCCAAACCCAGATCTTGAGCTTTTCAGTGACATGAACCCATAAATTCCCTCATTTTAAAGGTAAATTTCTCTGTAGTTTCTGTCATGTGCAATTAACAGTCTTAATATATGCCACCACTAATAAAGGAAGCATCTGCCTGTATGAATAAAGAGAGAAGCCTCTGGGTGAGAATCCCAGAGGGAGCGAATGAAATGCTACTGTTGCGGCCACCCACTTACAGAGATGGAGCTTTTCTAATGGAAAACACCAGACTGGAGGAGAGGCAAGATTTAGTCTGTCTGACGAATAATTTTAACCAACCAAATGTCTGAACATCTTATTCGAGAAAAATAGAACATTTAATAAGTCTGTATTTGCTTGGCTGACAATGTCAGCTCTCAGAAACTTACAGATAAATGCTATTATGTCTTTGTTGTGACTCAGAAGCTGGAAAATGTGTGTTTTTTATTTTGTTTTAGTTTTCGTTTTTGTTTTTTTTACGAAGTCTCACTCTGCTGCCCAAGCTGGAGTGCAGTGGTGTGATTTTGGCTCACTGAAACCTCTGCCTCCTGGGTTCAAGTGATTCCCCTGCCTCAGCCTTCCAAGTAGCTGGGATTACTGGCTCCCACCACCACACCCAGCTAATTTTTATATTTTTAGTAGAGATGGGGTTTCACCATGTTGGTCGGGCTGGTCTCAAACTCCTAACCTCAGGTGATCCAGCTGTCTCGGCCTTCCAAAGTGCTGGGATTACAGGCATGAGTCACTATACCTGGCCTATGTTTTTTATTTTTAAAGGGAAGAAACCTTGGGCAAACATGATCATGGAGTTTTAAGTTTATTAAGAGCACAATAAGATAAATCTCAAAGTCAGAGAAAAGCTAGGGATGATACAATGGCCGGAGACCAGGGAAAGGGGAGGAGCCCTTCCAACACCAAAATCTGATGCTAAAAAATACCAAATCTCAGCTGTCTAAATTAATCCTCAAGGGTTCTGGCAAGACATTATTTATCAATCATGTACTTTTTTCCCATAAAGTCCAATCTCATTCTGAAATTCTCTCTTACCTAGCATCCTAGTCAGCCACAATGAATTGAACAAAGTTGGGACACGAGAAGAAGCCCATTTGCCATCTCTAGCCTAACAACACAGGGAACTCCTGGAGCTCAAATTATAAAAGGATGTGTACAAGAAGTGGAAGGTGGGGCACAAATTCATTGTGGAATGGGCCCACATGAACAATGGCAGAAAGAATAAAGTCTAGCAGAGGCTGAGGTTTGTTTATTTAAAGTAAAAACAAAAACAAAATTTCCATTTTTAAATGAATGAAAATAAAGGAGGACTTTAAAAAAGAGAGAGAGAGATGTAGTTGTCTCTGCTTAGGGAAGATGACCCAGAATATATAGAGAAGGCAGAATTCTCCAGCTTCTGGGTTTAGTTCCACATCTTCATTAGGAGAAATGATCTTCACCAGGAAAAAGAGAACAACTTGGTTAAGAGAGCCTCAGAGTCCATGATGGGGAGGAAGAAAGGGAAGCCCTCCTCTCCTGTAGCTGAGCTCCAGACCCAGCTATCAGTGGTGCCCCAGGGACATAAGGGAAATTGGGATCGAGAAACCTTTGGGTGATCTCTGAGGAATCAAAGGCAAGGGGGAAAAGGCCAGAATGTTAGAAACTGGCAAACAGCATCCTGACTTTCAAAGAAGAGGAAAAACAAATTCCATAGCCTATTATCGACCTCTGCAAGAGGCTAAGCAGCAGTGTTAACCTGGCAGATTTCAGAGTACACAGGAAAGTAGACAGCAAGAAAGGGCAAAAAACTCAGTATAAAAATGGATGGCAGATGGGTACAGGCAATTTACTTAATAGAAAATACACGTGGCCATTGAGCTGGGCATGGTGGCTGGTGAATGACATCTCAGCTACTCAGGAGGCTGAGCCAGGAGGATTGCTTGAGGCAAGGAATTCAAGACCAGACCGGGTAACATAGTGAGCCTCTGTCTCTACAAAAATTTTAAAAAATAGCCAGGTATGATGTGGTGGCCCATAACTGAGGTCTCAGCTACTAGGGAGGCTGAAGTGGGAGGACTGCTTGAGCCCAGGAGTTCGAGGCTACAGTGAGCTATGTTCACACCACTGCACTCCAGCCAGGGTGATAGAGTGAGACTCCGTGTCTTAAAAAAAAAAAAAAAGTGAACAATAAATATAAAATATCCTCATCATCATGGAAATATACATTAAATTAAGATAATCAGATGCTATTTATGTAGCAGGCCATATAAAATTAAAAGACATCAACTATTGGCAAAGATATGGGGAAATGACACATTCACTAGTGGAATACATAACTTTCTTTAAAGGGCAATTTGGCGGTATTAATTAAAATTAAAAATGTATTGTACTTTTACCCAGCAATCTGAAAGACTCACACATGCAGAGGCTTGTAGAAGGTTAATACAAAAATTTTAAATACAGTTTTAAAAATTACACTACAGTACATCTACACTATGAAATACCATATGAGTAAAAGTTAAAGGTGATTCATACATATTGATACTGAATGATCTTTAAGATGTCATTATTCATGCTTTCAGAAAGCACAGATAAACACATATTTCTATAAGTGCATATGCGTATATAAATGAATACAGAATAGTTAAAAGCCAATTAACCTGACAATAGAGATTACCTTGGGAAGGTGATTTGGGATATCTTTGTCTTTAGTTTTTGTATTTTTATACTTAGACTGTTTTCATTCATTATATGGTTAAATATATATTTAATAATTGTATATATTTATATATGTACATATGTATATATCCACACATATACACAGTCGGCCCTCTGTATCCAGGGTTTCACATCCATGGATTCAACCAACCACAAATTTAAAATATTTAGAGGGAAAAAAAGGATGATTGTGTCTGTACTGAACACATACGGACTTCTTGTCATTTTTTCCTAAACAATACAGTATAATAGCTATTTACATAGCATTTACATTGTATTAGGTATTATATGCAACCTTGTAATCTAGAAATGATTTAAAGTATGTGCATAGGTTATATGCAAATATACTATTTTATATAAGGAACTCTGAGTATTTTGGTATCTGTGGGGCTTTTTGGAACCAGTCCTCCATGGATACCAAGGAATCACTAGATACATATACTGTAAACATATATATAGTAAAAGAATGAAAAATAAAGACCAGGAAACAGTGACTGTTGGGGACTAGTGTGTGCACTAGGAGTAAGATGTGTCAAATCTACCCAGTTTCCTTCTCCTGGGGTGACAAGGGAAATGCCAACCACACTGTGAACTGATACCCGCAGGCTACTGGCAAAGCCTTTCTTATCATTATTACAGAAACAATAAAAAAAATGCAGACTGGATGACAATGCTAGAAGCAGAGCCAAAACTGACTTAGTTACTGATTCAGGGTCCATGGGGAAACTCCTAGGGCAGTCTTCGATCCTGTTCTGTTCAACATCTTCATGCGTTCATTCTTCTAATATCTCACTTACTCATTCACCAGACATTTAAGAGCTTACTCTCAAATGTGTCAGATGTTGTGCATTGAGATATAAAGATGGGCTGGGCATGGTGGCTCATACCTGTAATCCCAGCACTTTGGGAGGCTGAGGCAGGTAGATCACCTGAGGTCAGGAACTTGAGACCAGCCTGACCAACATGGTGACACCGGAATACAAAAAATAAGCCTGACGTGGTAGCAGGTGCCTGTAATCCCAGCTACTCAGGAGGCTGCGGCAGGAGAAACCCAGGAGGCAGAAATTGCAGTGAGCCGAGATTGCGCTATTGCACTCCAGCCTGGGCAACAAGAGCGAGACTCCGTCTCAAAAAAAAAAAAAGATATAAAGATAATTTCTGCTTTGAGCCTAGGATCCTGAAAAATAGACAGAAGGGGGAATCAAACCCAGTGTGAAAAATGCTCAGTCTGAAGTGTTATGGGAGCTCCAGAGGGTAGGGCCTGACCATACCCTGGCCTCTTGATGGAGATCACTATTTATACCTCTATTTATATTTCATGAGGTGTGTATGCTTCATGAAAGGTATCATAAAGCTAAAAAATACCAAGAATTCCAAAAACCACATATATATGAGGTAGAAAATATTCAAAAGCTAAACATCCCGGTACAATCCATTTCCAGTCACTAAAAAGTTCTACCCTTAGGTTACAAGAGAATACGCTTGAGTTTTGAGGCCTCACTCAAAGAACACTGTCAAAGAGCAAGGTGTCAGGATAGGAAGCAATGGGCCCAATGTGAGATGAAGACCAGATAAAGGGATACCCAGACTTTTTCAGGGTCACTCTGATCTCTCTCTCTGAGCCCTCGACTCCATTCATAATCCTCCTGTTTTCTCTCAGGGAATCACCTACAGCCAACAGAGCCAGCAATTTCAAGGTCTCTGATTATATGGTTAGTTGGACTATTTGAGGGAGGGAGTAAGTAGAAGATCGCTCCCAGGTCAGCTCCCAGCCACATGGCAGTTAGTCTGTAGCAGATTTTTGGTTTGCAAGACCTTTCTTGCCTGTCCTCTCCCCACTCCCCAGTTTGGTGCCCCAAGGTTGTCCCTTCCACCACCCTTGAGAAAAACCATGAAGTACACATATGCCAGTTTCCATGGCTGTGGATCCCAGGCTGTCATTTCACCCTTTCAGGACTTAGTGTTTTTGTTTAATGAAGAACATTAACAAAGAGAGGGCAGTGCTTAATACAAATGAGTGAATGGTGGAATTTCAGGCACCCAGGAGGACCTATCTGGGTCCTAGTCCTAGTGTAGGAGGTGCTCTGGCAGGGACCCTCCATCAGGACTAACCTCTTCAGTGATGATCGAGACAGCACCTGTGCAGCCTGGTTCATGGCCCTGACCCAAGCATTCATGTCCTCCTGGGTGTCGGCACTGAAGTAGTAGGTCCTCATGCCCGACTGCTCGGCCTGAGAGCCTGCTGTGGAGCTGTTATAGATGAGCGCTCGCATCCCCGTGTGCACAGCCTGCAGCATGAAGACAGAAACGCAGGTCAGAGGGAGGTCATCACATATTTCCTTTCTAGGAGCAAAAGCAAGGAGGCACTCTGGCCCTTCCAGACTGAAATCCCGAGCACCACCCAGCTTGTTTCCACACCTAGAAAACATCACAGGCTAGATTCCTCTTTCTTAGTGCAGCCAGGTCCACTGACAGCTGTGTCTGTTTCCCCATAGTAAAAGCCCTGCAGCTGTACCTGTTTCCTATTTACCTTTCTCCTGCTTTTGGGGTTGGGAATGTGCACAAAGTCAAGGCTTATGTGAGAAACAGGCTTTTCAGAAAACCCTCATTTCATAGAGACAGACTCTTGCGAATCCCTGTTCTGGTTTTTCTGAAGCCTGTGATTTCTGCTTTGGCTACAATCAGACAAGAATTGACTTAAAACTGGCTGCATCAACAGGTGGCTTGATGTGAATGTTCACTGTGTTTCACTGCTTAGGCATGACGTGTGACGTGTGTTCCTCAAAGAAGCTGCTGTTTTGTCTCTCCAAAAGAGGCACTACCAGATATGAGGGCAATCTGGCTGCAACAGCTGTCACCCCATTGATCGCCAGGGTTGATTCAGCTGATCTGGCCAGCTAGGCAGCTGCACACTCAGTTGAAGAGGAAGACCATCCCCGATAGAGGAGGATGGCCTTCAGTCAAGGGTATACAGGTAGCTGAGCTCCCCTGCTAGAACAAGCTCTCAAAAGAGCACTACAGAGGTGGACAGAGCTGACCAACAGTTACCTAAATATTCTTGCAAACCTACTGTGTCCTTTTGCCTCAAGGTACTTTCACATGTATCCTTGCAAAAAAATCTGGAAAAAAGGTACTCAGAATGACCACTGAAAAATGACTGGGATGACACCAGTTTTTCCCCTTGTGCTCTGATAAAGCAGAGACCCATCTTTTAAATTTGCTAGGAACAATCTCATCAAATATATATAGGAAGATGGTGTGAAAAGAGAAAGATTTACTGAGTACCTACTGTGTGTCTCCTAGGTACTTCCACAACTTTAATCTCGTAATCTTAATAGCCTTGAGAAGTGGAGACAGAATCTCTGTTTTACAGATAGCAAACGAAGCTCTGATATGTTAAGTAACTTTCCCAGATTTCCACACCTGGTAACAGATTCTTCACAGCACTTACCATTACCTGGTGCTATTTATTACCTGCTTATCATCTGTCTCCTTTCTCTACAAATATAAGCTCCAAGAAAGTAGAAATTTTGCTATTTTATTCACTAGTCTATCCTCAGGAACAGTGCCTGGCACATAGTAGGTGCTCGATAAACATTTGCTGAAAGAATGAAGAATTGGAGTCCAGGTCTAACTCCCAAGTCCAGGCTTCTCTGTATATTGCTCCCAGGTTCTATCCAGAAGTGAAGGTGATTATCCAAATAACTGGTTCCATACTCTGAATCCAGCATGAAAGGCAGACCCCATGCAAGGACCAGGCAGAGAAAACAAAATGAGAACCAATGATAAGCTGGACAATGACATGATTCTGGAATCACTAATAGTCATGGATGAAAACATGTCAGATGAACTTCCAGCATTTACTTCTCCTCCCTACCCTCTTAATATCCAGATCCAAAATGCATAGTAAATATAGGTCTGCTTCTGGCATTTACATATCTGAGTCCATCCAGCTCAGGGCTAAGGGAATCTAGGCAAACTTGGCCTGCAGCCAAGGATCCCTATAGTGGCTGAAGCAAACCTGATATCCTTCCTTAGCTTGTATAAGGTGTCATTCACTATTACAGGAAGGATTCTATTTTAAGCAAGTTGGAAATGTGCCAGTAAGAGAACAGAATAAGGCCAGACGCAGTGGCTTACACTTCTAATCCCAGCACTTTGGGAAGCTGAGGCAGGTAGAACACCTGAAGTCAGGAGTTCAAGACCAGCCTGAGCAACATGGTGAAACCCCGTCTCTACTAAAAATATAAAAATTAGCTAGGTGTGGTGGCGTGTGCCTGAATTCCCAGCTACTCAGGAGGCTGAGGCATGAGAATCACTTGGACCCAGCAGGTGGGGCTTGCAGTGAGTTGAGATTGCGCCACTGCACTCCAGCCTGGGTGACAGAGTGAGACTTCATCTCAAAAAAAAAAAAAAAGGAAAAAAAGAACAGAATAAGAAGGAATCTGTGCATGTCTTACTGAAAATCAGCAGAAATTCTTGGAAAACATCCTCTGGACAACGACCCCATGAGATCTCTGACACGCTCACCCAGGCATTTGTGCCTAGTCATAGAGGGTACTGGGACAGGTGCCTATCCCACTAGACACAAGCATAGGGAGCCCTCCAAGGTACAATAAAGACAGTAGATTCCTGCTGTACAAAACTTCATGGAGTCAGCCTTGTCCAGGAAATTAACATGGGACATGCCTCAAACATGCAGACATGGGTTTGCATGTCTGTTTGCAAATGAGCCTTGAGTGTTACATCCACCATTATGAAGGAGTTACACATGATTGCAAATAAAACCCTGGTCACTAATCAAACAAGCAGGTGCTGTGCCCAGCTGCTCTTGACTCTGAAAAACAGATTCCAACTGCATTCTGCCTGTGTGAGGGCATATTAGATGGATTAACTGTGAAGGTAAGAAGTACAGGGAGTTTCCTTTTCATCTGGCCAAGTGACCCAAGTCCAAAGTGTCCTGAGCCTAGGAAGACGTCATAACCCAGATGATGTGAATCTTCTCACATAGTTGAATTTCTCCCTCTTCTCAATTCAGAAATGCTGTTTTCTCTGCTCTTTGCTTTCCCGTTAACATAATCCTACGAAGCAACTTTGTATAACTGAATAGAAAACAGGCTATGCCTAAAGGAAATCAGGATGTGAGCGAAGAAGAGTTTACCTCAAAGACATGAGGCCCCTAGGACATGGTATTCTCCTGGCTCTTGGACCTTAGTTTTAGACACAACACTGGTAAAGGAGCCAGAATCCTCATGGCTCAAGCCCCCAACAGCAGCCTTTAGAATAGAGAAACCTCAGTGGAAAATATAGGAGTACCCAAAAGGCCAGGGCCCATCAACTGGCTGGCTTATTCTGGAACTTGTTCAACAACAATGAACCATTTATTATTTACTATGGGTAAGGCACCCTACCAAAGTTGGAGGGACAGCCTTAAACAACGCCATTACAGTTTATAGCCACATAGAAGAGAAAGACCACGGAGAAGTAACTCCAGCTGTAGGAAATGCCATCAAGAAGGGCAGGATGCTGTGAGGAGGATAACGAGGGAGCTCAGCCTGACCCCTGGGGAACTGACATTGCAGCTAACTTCTGCACTATAGGTAGTCATTTAAGTAATAGCAGAGAGGAGCTGGGCAGCACCCCATGGACATGAGCACACAGTGTATTCATCTTCAAGGATGAGGCCAGCATAGCTGGCACAGAGGAATGGAGGGGAAAATAGCATGAAGGAAGGCTGCCTAAGTTGGCAGGGCCAGACCACCAGAGCCTTACAGATCATGTAGGATTTTGTCTTCATGAAAGAGCAATGAGAAACAGTTAGAGGTTTTTTCATTTTTCTGAGACAAGGTCTTGCTCGGTTGCCCAGGCTGGAGTACAGTGGCACCATCTTGGCTCACTGCAATCTTCGCCTCCTGAGCTCAAGCGATCCCCCCACCCCAGCCTCCTGAGTAGCTTGTACTACAAGAGCACACCATCAAACACGATTAATTTTGTATTTTTTGTAGAGATGCGGTTTCGCCATGTTGTCCAAGTTGGTCTTGAACTCCTGGGTTCAAGGGATCCACCCACCTTGGCTTCCCAAAGTGCTGAGATTACAGGCATGAGCCACTGCACCCAGCCTTATTTAAAGGGCTTAAGCTGGGGAATGATGTGATGAGGTTTTGTTTGGAAAGATCACTCTGGCTGCAGTACGCAGAGAGGTTCAAGCAAGCAGGAACGTTTGAGGAGAGATGGGTCAGGAGGCTACTACGGGAGCACAGGTGAGAGATGGTGGTGGAGGCAGAGAAGTGGAGGAGCAGACAGGATCTGGAGAGAACTTGCAGGTAATATCTGCAGGCCTTGGTAATGGACTGGATATGAGGAGAGGGAACAGCAGGTATAAAGGATGAGTCTCAAGTTTACAACTTACAACTTGCAGAATTAGTGGTGCCCATTTATTGAGATTAAGAAAAGAGACCAGGCATGGTAGCTCACACCTGTAATCCCAGCACTTTGGGAGGCCAAGACAGGAGGTCAGGAGTTCAAGACCAGCCTGGCCAATTGGCAAAACCTCATCTCTATAAAAAATACAAAAATTAGCTGGGTGTGGTGGTGGGCATCAGTATTCCCTGCTACTCGGTGGCTGAGGCAGGAGAATTGCTTGAACCCGGGAGGCAGAGGTTGCAGTGAGTGGAGATTGTGCCACTGCACTCCAGCCTGGGTGACAGAGTGAGACTCTGTCTCAAAAAGAAAAGAAAAGGAACTTCTCATGTCCAATCTTTAGGCTGACTACAAGCAGCATAGTGAAAAGGGTAAGAACTTGGGCTCTTGGAATCAGCCCGAGGTCCAAGGTGGACTTTGCCTCTTGTCCACTGGGTAACTCTGGGCAAATTACTCAACCTCCTCATCCCTTTGTTTCTTCATCTTTAAAATAGGACCACGGCTAAAAGTAGCATTTACCCTATAAGGCCATGTGAGGATGAAATGAGACAATACATATACAGTGCTTAGAGCACAGCCTGGCATTTGTGAGGCTCAAAGGTGTCAGTGGATGCTACTGAAGGTGCCGTCACTTGAGCAACTTAGGGAGGTTGGCTGAAAGAGCATTCTAGAAACTTTAAGACTCTTCTTCCTCCCCCCCCATCACAAATTTAAAGGTGACTAAATACAAAATACAAGTAAGCCTGAACTCACCATATCTTTGGAAGTATAAGCATTGTCATTGACCACAATTCCCATTACACGTGACTGCTCCCTATGGTCCCTGCCTACAGGATGGGACTAGCAGAACTAGCTGATGAACTAGTTTTCCCGGTGAAAGGTCTGGGTGGGTGAATCAACCATTTACAGTGCAGTGATACAGAGCTGTGGAAGTAGAGAAGAAGGGTACTTCACCTGTCGACAGGGCTCAGAGAAGGCTTCCCAGAGAAGGTGACCCTGAGCAGAAAACTGAAGGACAAGTAAGAGTTGGGTAAAGGACATCCCAGTCTGTGGCTGAAGTAAGTAAAGGGCTACAGGCAAGAAATATGCTGGGGCCTTAAGCAACTGTATATGGCTAGAGGAAAGACAAGACAGGAGTGGCTAAAAATGTGGCTGTAGAGATAAGCTGAGACTTGTGAATCCAGATTGGCTTTATTGGCCAAGCATGGTGGCTCCTGCCTGTAATCTCAGCACTTTGGGAGATTAGAGACCTGGCCAACATGGTAAAACCTCATCTTTACTAAAAATAAAAATAAAAAATTAGTTGGGGATGGTGGTGGGCACCTGTAATCCCAGCTGCTCGGGAGGCTGAGGCAGGAGAATTGCCTGAACCCGGGAGGCAAAGGTTGCAGTGATGAGCCAGTATCACACCACTTACTCCAGCCTGGGTGACAGAGAGAAACTCTGTCTCAAAAAAAGAAAAGAAAAGGAAAATTAAAAAATGATTGGCTTTATCCTGAAAGCAGCGGGGAACCACTGAAGGGCTTATGGTGAGAATACAATCTGAACATGGGTGCAACTTAGAAACAATGTGGAGGAGGAACTGGAGGCTGCAGAGGAGTTCCCAGGCTGAATCAGTGACAGCCAACACTTACAGAGCACTTAATATATACTAGGTCCTGCTCTATAGTGTGCTCCCCAGGGGAGGGATGGTGGTGGCCAAGACAGAACAGTGGCAGCAGGGGTGGAAAGGAAGACATGAACTTGGCAGATATGCAAAGAACAAAATCGAAAGGACAGAGAAAAAGGCAGCTCTTTCTTGTTGTCTTCTCATCCTCTAATAATACACATGCTGATGCAAACTTGAGAATATAAAACCTACAAAGGCCAGGATTTTGTCCTGTTCATTGCTGTATCCCTAGTATACTATCCAATAGACTATCAGAGCATGCAACAGAAGTTTATCAAATAGAACTACATAAGTGAAAAACCATGCCTCTTGGCACGTATTCAGAATCTAGAGCAGGAACCTTAACATTTTTTGTGGCATGGACACTTTTGACAGTTTGATAAATCCTATGAACCTTTTTCAGAATGTTAAGCACACAAAATAAGGTAAATTTATTATACTGAAATATGGTTCTTAAAATATTTTTTAAATGTGTGGTATAGTGATGCAGGTGTTTGTTTACTAATGTACTGCATAATGTATCTGGTGGCAGATGTTATAATTATTGTGATTTTAAAATGGTGATGAGCATAAATGAGATTTCAAGGTATCTACAACAACTGTAATGTGTTATGAAGGGATCTATGGTTTCTACTGGTAACCAAGTCACAGGTACTGCTGATACACATTGTGACCTGCTTTCTTAATTGAAAGAAATGTTATATTTTAGTTAAAGGTTAAAAAGTAGGCCAAGCACGGTAGATACTCTGAGCTATCTCAGACAAGATGCCCTAGCAACGGTATGAGAACTTCAGCTCTAGATACAGAGAAAGACCAACATCAAAGGCAGGTATCAGGGCCAAGTACAAAACACTGTGTATTCCTTGATATGCCCAAGAATATAGACCCTGAGCTGCACCCCCAGGGCATACCCTCTGGCCCCTAATAGCAGTATGCTGCAACCCAAATGAAAAGATAACTCTTTCAGACTCAGGAAACCATTGCCCTTTCTAGAGAACCATCTAAACACCACCAAATCTGTCTGTAGTAGCTTTTCACTGCTGTCAGATCCTGAGGACCTCAAAGACCTCCCCCGAACACACGAAGCCTTCTGCCTCCCAGATAAAAGATTTAGGGAACACTCTTCGTGAAGTCTTTCTAAGAAAAATGTTAAGAAAAGGAAAATCTAAGACAGATTAAAGATGTTTGCCTAGAATCTATTTTCACACCTCCAATGAAGTGTTAAGATAACATATATATAGTTATGACATGTTACTTTGAGGATATGCCAAATGTTGTTCCCAAAACATCACATACGACATCACTATCCCAATTGTTTGCCCAACTGGGCAGTGCTCCACTCTAGAAAGCAGAGTTTTCTAAGGAAGATTTTTCAGGCCATAAAGAGGAGTCTGAAAACCACTGAACAAAATGTTTTCAGAGCCAGGAATAAGTTTCTAAAATGATACAATAAATGTGAATTCAAACCACCTTCTACCTCCTGGGTTGTCTGTATAGCCAATGACCAAGATAAAACATGGAAGAAAAAGCAAGGAAGAAGAGAAAATAATACAAGGTGGGAGCCCTGTAATAAACCTGAAAGAGAACAGAATTCAGGGCCAAGTTCTGCCTATGTCATCTTTCAGCTTTGTGACTTTGAGCAAGTTTCTTAAGCTTTCACATCTTTCCCTCACCATGAGCATTAAATGAGGTTACATGTATAAAAGTACTTCCCAAATCTTAAAATGTCAAAGATGTAAGGCAACAGTATTCCATGCAACAGGATGCAGAGCACTATCCCAGAATCACCAACCCATAGCAATTCTGGAGTGACACTCAGTAGCATCACTCAAGGGAAAGAGAGGGACAACTCAAACCTGTTGATGAGCAAAGCCAAAGCATCAGCTCAGTTCTGTGCCTCCTTAGGAAGGAAAGATAAAAGGAAGAGGAAACCGACTTTCTAACCACTGGCACCACCATGGACGCCAGATCAAGGTGCTGATGCAGACCCTCACTTTGCAAGCCCCTCACAGATGAAGGACCGGCTGCTAACACCATGGACACCACGGACCAACACTTGCCTTTAACACTTCCAGAGAACTTCCAAGATAAGTACAAGGTGTCTTACCTTGTACTTTCCCATGGTCCTTCATCTGTGGCTAGAAAGCATGATTTCTGTTCAATCTCTGCTTTACTACCTACTGTCTAGTACTCATCTTGTACCCCTAACATGGAAATGGCCAAGCAACAAATGCAGTAGGGGCAGGAGCCCCTACTCCAGCTTGAAGTGTATGACATTGCCTCATATCTTGAGCAAGAGAGGGCTGTGCCCTGTGGCGACTGGCACCAAGGGCTGCTTCCTTCAGTGCTCTCTAGGACTTGCACCTCAACTGCTATTAAAGTGGATCTTCAATCCGCCCCACCCTTCCCTTCCCTGGGGGACCCAAGATCTTAACACCTGCAGTAAAGGAATCTGTGGAGGCCACCAACGGAGAAGACCTCAGGATTCCCCATGTTTGAGCCTAAACATATCTTCCAAGAGCCTCCACACCTGACCTCACAGGTTCTACAGGGCAAAACTGCCACTAATTATCATAGCCTCACGCAGCCCAAATGGTACAGTCACAAAACAAGTAGCAAAGGGGTTTTACTGGTAAAGGGATCTGCCTGGAAATCTTCAATGATCCAGAAGATAAACCAAATTTTATTCTAATTGCTTTTCAGCAAGATAAACAAAGTGGACAAACCTGACAGCCTCTTCAACACGCAGGGCCCTAACCCTCAATGCGAGTTTTCATAATACAATGGACATAAAACCATTACAAGGGGTCACCAGTTGCACAAAATGGCTGGATGGTATTTAGGCTGCTGAGTATGGTGATAAGATAACTCAAGAAGGGCTTTGACAGGTAACCACAAGACTGGCAGCGACAGGAAGGAGGGGTCTGAGTACTTGAATATGGCTGGGTGACTCCAAAGCTTAGATTCAAATGACAGTACTGGTCATGTGATATTATTCTTGTTTAAGTAACTTGTAGCTTGGTTAACCTGAATTTGAGACTCTCTAGCTTAACTTCTTCCCCCTCCCGACCAAAGCAATTGCTTTTACAAAGGCATTTTGAGAACACAGTTTCTTTAGACAGAACAGCTGCATTAGAGGTGTACAGGCAGTACCTTAAAGGAGTATTTGCGGCTTATGCGATCCTCAGGGGCCACAGGCGAGATCACGTAGCTGGGCAAGGGAATGCTCCCAAGGACTGCTTCTTCTCGGCTGTCTTTGAATGGAAAAACACATCAGAACAACCTTCTGGGCACCTTTCCTGGGCTCATCCATCCCAATGCTTCCAGAACTTCACCCATGCTGTTTCTTCCCCTTGTAATGTCCATCCTTCCCTGACCCACACACAGGCAAAGCTCTACCCATTCTTTTTTTTTTTTTTTTTTTTTGAGACGGAGTTTCGCTGTTGTTGCCCAGACTGGAGTGCAATGGCATGATCTCGGCTCACCGCAACCTCCGCCTCCTGGGTTCAAGCAATTCTCCTGCTTCAGCCTCCCGAGTAGCTGGGACTACAGGCACGCACCATCATGCCCAGCTAATTTTTGTATTTTTAGTAGAGACGGGGTTTCACCTTGTTGACCAGGATGGTCTCAATCTCTTGACCTCGTGATCCACCCGCCTCAGCCTCCCAAAGTGCTGGGATTACAGGCTTGAGCCACTGCGCCCGGCCTCTACCCATTCTTAAAAGCCTATCTCTTCTCTCTCTTCTAAGAAGCCTCCTCAGATTCTCCAATGGTGAAATTCACTTCTCAGTCCCCATGAACTGTTTTGAAAGCACCAACCGCAGTCTAGTCTTATCTTAAAAGTAAGCCCTTTCTCTACATTTTGAGACTTCCTTCTCAATACCATACCCAAAACTTTATGTTCTGGGGCTCCATAGAAGCTCAGACAGCCAATTCAATTCACCAGTTGCCCATCCAACATCCAATAAATCCAGATGACAGGTTACCAAATACAATCAATGATCACACTTCTCATCTCTCTAGAGTACATCACTCTGAATCTTGAGATCCTAAGTAGCAGGCAAACTGGATTCTATTTATTTTAACCCAACAGATTAAACTTCCTGTGTTAGGACTGGTAAAGCTGAAGTCACCAACCATCCACAAACTGAACACTTTGGCAGGTTAATAGACTACTTGTTAGCTCACCTTTATAGTAAAATAAGCAGTAATCGGCAAGCACAAACCACCTCCTTTTCCACAGCCTCATCCCAGAACTGTCCTGCAAAGCAAAGAAAACTAGTCAGAGTACTCTCTGGGCACACTGTTGTCCCCTTTCAAGATGCACAGCCTAATTCCAGAACCAAATATTTGCCCATATTCACTTTCTTTTAATAAATTACTGTTTTATTGAAGAGGTAGTCTTTGAATAGAACATTAGAACTTAGATTAAATGATGGTTTATTCTAAGGAAACAGGGTTTTTGTCTCCTAGAAACAAACCAATGTATAATATTATAAGTCACTTTTCTAGAAAGTAAATTAAGAAAGGAATCAGCTCTTAACAAGAAGTTTCTTTGTTGTTGTTTCTTATTTAGGTAGCTATGCTATAAAATATCTTCATTGATGTTGACTGGAAAACTGAATTTACATAGTACTGAAAAGAGTTTAAGTGAATTAAGTGAGGCAAAGTTCTCATTAGATTATGCTCAGCTCTGTGCCATATAGGATGGATTCTGCTGTTATGTTTTCCTTCCATTCAATAGAAAAGGATTTGGATTCTCTTTGCTATCAAATTGTCTCATAACAAAAATCTGTCTTTACTCATATGAAATGTAAATGTTTGTATTTATCAATAATATTTTAAATAACTGTGAATATTTTTTAAAAACATGGCCAAGGCAGGAAAACAGAATGTTTCAGGGTTAGTTTTCTCTCAAACCTAGGAAAACCCCAGAGCATCTTTTAGTTTTAGAGATGGCTCTGTAATCACAGTGTTTTGAGAGGCTGACACAGGAAGATCGTCTGAGGCCAGGAATTCTAGACCAGCCTGGGCAACATAGCAATACCCCATATTTACCAAAAAAAAAAAAAAAAAAAATAGTTTTTCTGTTTTTTGTTTTTGTTTTTGTTTTTTTTTTGAGGTGGAGTCTTGCTCTTGTTGCCCAGGCTGGAATGCAATAGCACAGTCTCAGCTCATTGCAACCTCTGCCTCCTGGGTTCAAGCAATTCTCCTGCCTCAGCCTCCCAAGTAGCTGGAATTACAAGCACTTGCCACCAACCCCAGCTAATTTTTGTATTTTTAGTGGAGATGAGTTTTCACCATGTTGGCCAGACTGATCTCAAACTCCTGACCTCATGATCCACCCACCTTGGCCTCCCAAAGTGCTGGGATTACAGGCGTGAGGCACCACACCTGGCCACAAATTTTTCTTTTTTTTTACTTTCAGTACAGTGCTCATTAGTCAACGCTTTATCATAAAATAGGCTTTATGTTAGATGATAATACCAGCATCTTGTTCAAGAAATTAAAGCCAGCTTCTTCAACAGAGAACATTATTAGAATGAAACTAGATGCAGGAACAGGAAAGTAAAGACCTGTGTCATATTCAACAAGACTCAACTACAGGGCAAAGAATCACATAGTGTTGCAAAATCTTGAATTGCCTAGATGATAGGATTACAAAAACTACACAGCTATTGCTGGAAAATTATGTCATGCAGAGAAGAGACTGACATGATTATGTATGTGGGTTTGTCCCAAACAAATCAGATCTTGGAGTAAGTGAAACAAGTCTATCTAACCAGCTACTCATAGAACCTAGTTTCTATGGAAAACAAATCAATTAAGCTAAACTCCCACATTTCAAATGTATATTCATCTATAGAAGCCCAAAAGGACAGCGGGATTACAAATAATTTTACATTTTAGAGGCTTTCATAATTTGAAAAGTTAACCTTACAAATTTGTGTTACTAAAATGCAAAAGCAGGCCGGGCGTGGTGGCTCACACCTATAATCCCAGCACTTTGGGAGGCCGAGCGGGGTGGATCACAAGGTCAAGAGATCGAGACCATCCTGGTCAACAAGGTGAAACCCCGTCTCTACTAAAAATACAAAATTAGCTGGGCATGGTGGCGTGTGCCTGTAATCCCAGCTACTTGGGAGGCTGAGGCAGGACAATTGCTTGAACCCAGGAGGTAGAGGTTGCGGTGAGCCGAGATTGCGCCATTGCACTCCAGCCTGGGTAACAACAGTGAAACTCCGTCTCAAAAAAAAAAAAAGGCAAAATCAGGTTGGCATGGTGCCTCATGGCTGTAATCTGAGCATTTAGGGGAGGCTGAGGTGGGAGGATCACTTGAGCCTAGGAGTTTGAGACCAGTCTGGGGAATATAGGGAAAACCTCTCTCTACAAAAGATATAAAAATTGGCCAGGTGTGATGGCATGCCCCGGTAGTTACAGCTACTTGGGAGGCTGAGATGGGAGGATTGCCTTGAGCCTATGAAATTGAGACTGAAGCTGATGGCACTACTGCCCTCCAGCCTGGGCAACAGAGTAGGACCATCTCCCCCACTGCCCAGACTCCTCTAACTTGAGGGAGACCTACACATCTGTTTTCTTTCTTTTTACAGTTTTGCTCTGCTGCCCAGGCTGGAATGCAGTAGTGCGATCTCTAGCTCACTGCAACCTCCACCTCCTGGGTTCAAGTGATTCTTTTGCTTCAGCCTCCCAAGTAGCTGGGATTACAGGTGCCTGTCCCCCTGCCCAGCTAGTTTTGTATTTTTAGTAGAGATGGGTTTCACCATGTTAACCAGGCTGGTCTTGGAACTCCTGGCCTCAAGTGATCTGCCTGCCTTGGCTGGGATTACAGATGCAAGCCACCATGCCCAACATCTTTTTTTTGGAAACGGAGCCGGGACTCTGTCTCTTTCTTGCCCAGATTGGAGTGCAGGGTCATGATCATGACTCACTACAGCCTTTACCACCCAGGGTTCAAGAAATCCTCCCATCTCATCCTCCCAAGTAGCTGGGACCACAGGCACATGCCACCACACCCAGCTAATTCTTGGTAGAGATGAGGTTTTCCATGTTGCCCAGAATGGTCTCAAACTCTGGGGGTCAAGCAATCCACCCAGCCTCCCAAAGTGCTCGGATCACAGATGTGAGCCAAGACACCCGACACCCACATGATCTTTGAAAGCATGCCCCACTTCAGCCTTTTGCATGCAAGCACATTTCTGCACTGCAGTGAATCTATGACTTAGTATGGATGCATACCCATTCACAACCAGTGAAAGGCTGAGTGCCTAAAAAATTGTTTACTGCCTCAGAATATACTTGACAATTGTGCAAATAATAATAGTCTACTCTTGACTGGACGGGGTGGCTCATGCCTGTAATCCCAGCACTTTGGGAGGCTGAGGAGGGCACATCTCCTGAGGTCAAGTTCGAGACCAGCCTGACCAGCATGGAAAAACCCCATCTCTACTAAAAACACAAAATTAGCTGGGAATGGAGGCTCATGCCTGTAATCCCAGCTACTCGGGAGGCTGAAGCAGGAGAATCATTTGCACCCAGGAGGCAGAGCTTGTCATGAGCCGAGATTGTGCCATTGAACTCCAGCCTGGGCAACAAGAGTGAAATTCTGCCAAAAAAAGAAAAAAAAAAAAAAAGTCTACTCTCCCAAGTTTCCTTAGAGTTGTCATACATAAGCAAATCTGTATGGACTGAGGAGTAACGTGGAAGAGGAGAAGGCTTATGGAAGATAAATCATGTTCTTGCCTCCTGTAGGTAGGTTTCAATTCAGTAGCTGTATAAATGACTCCATGTTAATTTCCCTTCCCATATGCATGCTCATCCAGTGACTTATAAGGTTAGACCAACAGGCTCAGCATGAGGGCCAAGAAACTCGTGTTTCTCCTAAATTCAGCAGCTGATTCTCGTGCATCGAGGCTCTCACTGGGCCACTTTGGGAATGAAGACAAAGGAGTGTGATGGAGTCCATGTGATGGTTGAGTAGATGAGGAAAAGGGTCACATCAGAGACCTCGAGTCAGACTCACGTGATACAGAAAGCCAACAGTATGTATACTCAGAAGCAAAGCAATGCTATGCTTTTTTTTTTTCTGAGACAGTCTCACACTGTCACCCAGGCTGGAGGACAGCGGTATGATCATGGCTCACTGCAGCCTTGACTTCCTGTGCTCACTTGATCTTTCCACCTCAGCCTCCTGAGTAGCTGGGAGCACAGGTACATGCCACCATTTTTTTTTTTTCTTTTGTAGAAATGGGATTTCATATGTTGCCCAGGCTGGTCCCAAACTCCTGGGCTCAAATAATACTCCCACCTTGGCTTCCCAAAGTTCTTAGAGAAGCACTCTATATTTCTTCTATTATGTTAACAAACACAAAGAAGGACAATTTAAAAATAGATTACTATACCCAGGAACATATGTCAGAATTACCTATGGAAGTTTTTAAAAAATCTTTAAGTCTAGGCCCGACGCTTGGAGAAGGCTGCCAATGGAGTCAGGACCTGAGTATTTCTAATAAGCTCTGAGGGCAGCTCTGAGGTTCCCTTCTGGTTGAATCACTGATTTTAGGTTGACTGGGGCACTATGGTTTTTTGGGGCAGTTTTTGGGGGGGTGTGGGAAGCTTTTCTTGAAGATTTACTAGGAGTGGTGAGGAACTTGGCCTCTGGCTTTTTAGGAGTCTGTCTCACATCTTTTTTTTCCCAGCGAAGGATTATTTTCCTTCACTGCCTCTTCTTTGATTTTTGGCTTCTTCCATGGGCCTTTCCCTGGGGTCTCAGACTCTGCAGCTTTTGGGATCTCAGATGCTGGCAAGGCCTTTCTTTTCTTCCCACGAGGTGTGCTGGGAATAGGACTCTTTGTTGGAGACTTCTTTCCTGTGGCATGTTTTTGAATCTCCATATTCTCCTTAGCTGGAGTCTTTCCTATTGGTACCAGCTGTGGAATTTCGTCTTCGGGGTCATGTGCCACTTGAACTTGGGCTTTTCCTTTACCAGACCTTTTCTTCCCATGCTCTGGGGTCTGCTCCTTCTTCGATTCAGATGTCTCCACTGTAGCGTCCCCACTTTCAGGTGCCACGGTGTCTTTACTAAGGGCTGATGCAGGCTTGTTAGCCTGCTGTTTATTGTTTCTGATTTTGTTGCTCTCCTTTTGTTTTTCATGATTTCTTTCTCTTCATTTTTTCCTTGCCTCTTCTTTCTTCTTATTAAGCATAGATTTTTTGGTGGCTTCATCCCAATTGCTGACAAATGAGGAAAAGATGGGAAAAGCAGTCGATTTCTCAGTGTTCACAAACAGGAGTTTCACGCTCTCCCACTTCTCCGGCAATTTTTCTGAAAGTCCTTTGGTGACAGCAACAATGTTTTCAATGATGTGCTCAATCTGCATTCCAATGTGACCGATGCGTATAGCACTGCAAGAACCACTTTTAGAAATGTTTAAGACTGTTCCACCTATACAGTCATTGATCTCTCTTGATAAATTCTTGGACAGAGGGTTTACAGATACCGGAACTTTGTTTCTTTGATAGAATTGTCTCCCAATGAGTGAGGGTAAGAGCCCCCTAATTCTGGCATCAGTAAGGAAGAAGTCAAACGTGCTCAGAAGGCGGAGTATGGCTTCAAAGGGTTTATATTCCTTCTTTAGACTTTGGAAGGGGATAATCTGAGAAATGGTTTTAATTCCATGCTTGTTTAAAAGCTTTCTATAGAACTGTTCTGTCTTTTCAGGAGTTGAATTGGGTTCGTCCTTCATAAATAAACAGATATCTTCTAAATCCGATCGAGTACCATGAGGTAAGGGCAATCTGACCCTCAGTTCTTTACTTGGAATTTTCCATAATACCACCATTAAAAATAAATTTTCATTCTCATTCAAAAGCAACCCATAATCGTTCTTCCTGGACTTGCAATGTGTCAAGAGAGTGTCCAATGCCTTTCTAACCTGCTCTTTGTCCAGCTGTTTCCATGCTGTCGGGACAGCTGGAGTTGAGGTGGAGGTTGCAGTCACGGCTGAAGATGGCAGCAGCGTGGAGGCCGAGTCCTCCATTTTGCTTTCACCTCGTGAAGGTGTGCGTGCGGAACCCCACTACTTACTTCTGAGGTGCAAGCGTGAGCCACTTTTTTTTTTTTTATTTAAAAAATAAGAGATGGCTGTTAAATTGTCTTCCTTCTGTAGAAGTTTTTGACAAGCTTGAAAAAAAAATCTGACAATTTCTAAACTGACATACAACATGAGGATTTTTCCTCCTTCACTTACTAAAATGCTAAAAGCAAATTTAACTTGATGATTTCAACTACTTAACAATTTTATCTTCTGCAAATCAACCAGATGATATCTAATGTCTTCACACATGATATTTGTTTTCTTTGGAGGTCTTAACTATGCTCCTATGCCTGGTTCAAATATCACTTCCTCCAGGAAGCCTTTCTGGACCCCACCCCTTCCCCCCGCTGTCTCCCGCCCCAGTATAGCTACACTCTCTGTTGAGTGTCCACAGCACACAGATCCCTGTTATGGTTACAGACAGCCAGTGGGCCTGGGCTGCTAAGTGCTGGCAATTACTTACAAATCCTTCCCTCTCTCTCCATATGTCAAAGAAGCATCCTTTGCTTAATGGGGACAGGGATGCAAATGGAAGAAGTCAGAGGGTTAAATGACTCAAGTGAGAAAAAGAGATGGGCAAGAGAGGGAGGACAGGGCTGTGAGGGGCAAGTGGGAGCAAGAGAGGGTGGTACTAGGAGTGTCCAACAGAAGAGGCCAGGAGCTGTTACAGCTGCCATGGGGCCAGAGATGTGAAGGAAGATTTTAAGAGCACTTTTGGGATTTCTCCTGTGTGCTATGCAATGTAATGCCCTCCTGTTCTTCCCACAAAGCTTCACCAAAACTTACATCGCTGCTCTGGTATTTTTGGATGCTATGCTAGGTAAGAGACAGGGCTGGGTGACAATGTGACATGTGAGAGATGTGCTATCTTCTTCTCCTGGTAGCTGATGAGTTCCTCGAGGGCAGGAACCACGTTACTTTCCCTTGGTGCTTGCTCTTAGCAACTTAGGACATGGCAGGCACTTTGCAGAATAGATGAATGAATGAATGACTGGCAAGGAGAAAAGGAGGGCAAGAGAGACAGGGTCTCTAGGTCTGGGAACTCACAACCTAGCCATGAACAGAGGACCCGAGGCAGATCAATTGACAGTGGGGATTGCAATGAAGGATGGCCTCAGCCTACAGAACCGACAGAGCTTCCTGACTGAGCACAAGTCAGGGAAGGAGAATCTGGTGATAGTGCCGAGGTGTCTAACCTGAGTGCCTGGGAGAATGGTGTACCATTACTAAGATCCAGAAAAAGCAGCCTCAGGGAAATGGCGGGCCAGGGTGGTGAGGAGATAATGAGCTGAGTTCGGCTTATTTGGAATTTGAGATGCTAGGTGGATATGTATGCTAGACAAAGGGGAGAAGAAAAGATGAATTTTTTCAGCCAAATAATGACAAAGACTCTTTGACATCAGGAAGGCAAGGCTGGTGGAGGACTGGCAGGAAGGCTGGATTCATGTTGACGCACCCACACTGTGGCCTGGGCCCCAGGGCAGCCAACAGCACCAGGGGCCAAAGTGGTCAAATGGGTTTTGGGAGAGAAGCTGTAACCATTGAGCAGATAGTCCACTCACAAGAACAAGCAGCAAATAACGCAGCACAGCAGGTAGAATCCAGCTGCCTCAGACAAACTCAGGAACAGAAAGCTTATGCGCCTGTTCCTAGCTTCGTGGGGTCTAGGAAGGGAGAGAACTCAGCCACAGCCATTTCCTCCACCTCCTCACTCCTCAGGGTCCTCACCTGCTTGTGCAGCCAGCCCCTCACCACCACAGGAACGTTGGGGTTCCTCCGAATGGCCTGGTCTCTCTTCCCAAAGCTGTGGACTTTATTGCTGGACTTTATGATCTACAAAAAAGCAGATTGAACTCTAGCAGCAGGGAATTGAAGGTGGCACAAAAAAGCACTTGTATGTTAGGAGGACTGTCGGCTCTCTGCCTCACTCTAAACGGCAGCACCCTTTGATCAAAAGAACAGCCAGGAGACAGGGAACAGGTGTGCACATGGTCACAGCATTCTAATTAAAAGGCAAGCCTAAGACCTGGCAAACCTCCCAGCTGGGTCACAGAAAAAAAATTAAAAGAAAATTTTCAGTCAACTTTCAACAGCAGCTGTGGGCTCTAATATGTTCCATGGCTTTCCGAAGCAAAGCTAATTTTCGGTCACAGCTTTTTGCCAATGTCCAGATATTTACTCCTCCTATCTGGGTTCACCCTTCAGCACTCTCCTTCTCTCTGCAATGCTGGTTCTTTTCCCTGATCCTAGTGTTTTCTACACCTGCAGCACAAAAACTTCTGGGCACCCTTCCTCAGAGCCTCCTGTCTCCAAATCTCTCCAAGCTCTCTTTAACACACAGCTACATGTAAACAGAAACGTGGCCCTCCCAACCACGCAAGGAAAGTGAAGAACATGCTCCAGGAACTAGACATGGGTGCTGGGTCTGGCAGCGATCACCTGCTTTGTTGCACAAGGGACATACCCCTCTTGGCCGCAATTTCCTGATCTGTCATTTGGGGAGAACACTTCTTATGGGTCTCTGTCACAAAATTATAGTGAACATTAAATGGACTTCTGGTTACAAAGGGGCTTGGCAAAATATAAAAGAGGGGAAGGAAGGAACCAGTGGCCAGGAGCTCACCTTGGGTCCAGGCTTGGCCTCTAGGGTGGAGGCGGTCCCAGCCGTGGATGTTTCACTGACCATGCTGGACGGTCTTTGGTTTCTGTCCTGCTTCGACATATGTGGATTCGGCCTGTGGGGAAATACGGGATTCCAGTGAGTAAGAGCTGAGCTGCAGAGGAGGAAGCGCAGTAAGAATAGCTCCAGGTAGGAACTGCTTGCTGGGCCTTAGAACAACCCAGCCCTGATGGTTTGGAGGCTGCCTGACTTCAGACTGCAGCCAGAGGGCTGTGATGGCCAGTCTGCCCGTGTGCTTCAGGGAATTAAGAGGATGACAGATGGGCACATCTCCACAGCCTGACACCCCCAAAAAGGAGCACAGACTGTCATCCCTGCTGATGTCTGGAAGTCCACACACTCACTCTTAATCAGGTGTCTGTGACAACTGCCCCACCTGATGGGCACGCACAGATGCGCCACTCTTCTCAGCATGCAAGAGCAATCCATGCCCTCACACACACCTCCATTTCCCTGGCTCCCAAAAGAAGCTGTTTATAATTAGTAACAAGAAATCACTTGCGCACACAACCACACCCCCAGATACACACAGAGAATCCCTTGCATAAATGCCAGTGGGGCTTGTCTCCCAAAATAGACTACTCAACAAAGAGTCCTATTCTGGGAACACTCCATTTGCCCCAAAATACAGCTATCAGAGATATTAACCCTTTGTGCCAAGCCAGGAGAGCAGGAAAAAATGAAGTAAGCCTTGGGACCCAGTAAGACTCTATGGGGCTTCCCCATCAGCATCCCAGAAACATGGAGCTCCCACCAAGAAGCTGCCCTGGGAGGGCCAGCTCTCTGGGAGCATCTCAGTGCAACACTCAAGAGCCACTGAAAAGTCCTTCTCACCTGCCTCCACAGAGCCCCAGCATTTGCCAGTCTTTTAAGGCCGTAGGGACAAACGCCTTCACACAAATCCAGTACCTATCTCTGAACAGCTGGATACCTGTTGCCAAGACCCTGCTAAGTCCTTCCTCAAAGTGGAAGTTTCCAAGTTCTGTCCACTGCTCCAAGAGGCAATAGGATCCAGGTCACTGGAGACCAGGCAGACCACAGAGGCTCCTTGCCTGAAGAGTGAAGAAAATCTTTGGAGGCCTGGGCAAGAACCCTAAGGAGATGGAGCTGGAGGATCCGGGCAGGATGCAGCTGACACAGCAGCACTCTGAAAATCCTTCACAGGGCCACTTTTAGAGTGATGCAATAAGGGAAAATCCTAGTTTCCGCCGGGAAAATATGCTGTTTTCTTCTAAGACCCTGTTGCTCAAAAGATAAGCAATCCTTCCTGTGCCCTGAGACAGATCCCAATATCCAACACCACAAGGGAAGTTCTCTGCAGAAGTATCCTTAACTACTGCACTTTCCAAGCAATGCCAGCAGCAGGACCACCGTAGCAGCCACCAGCGTCCCAAAGGGCTGGGCCCTGTGGGATGCTTGGCAGCCGGAGATGCAAGTCCTACCAGGCAGAAAGAGCACTGGCTCCTTATCAGCTCAGACACTCACTCCAGATTCCCCGCCCCCGGCCTCCAACCCAGCCAGACTTTTGTTGCTGCTCCCCACTCGGAGGGAGAAATGTCACCATACTTGCTGCTGGCAGAGGCTGTATGCAGCAAGATACTCGCCGATCAGGGGCAGAAAGGGGCTCCCAGAGGCTGCTTTGTCCACCCTCTTTCTCCAGACAGAACTATGTCCAAAATATCCTGGAACCAGGATGGTCTCGCCTGACTTCCGGAGGTTGAGACAAGGAAAAAGAACCCAGGTTGCTTCAGTTATGGTAGCTGTTATCTCTAAGCTGAAATTCAGGACACAAGGTCCAACAATAAAAAAGGTTTGTTTAGGTTTTTTTCTTCCTTTTTTTTTTTTTGAGATGGAGTTTCACTCTGTTGCCCAGGCTGGAGTGCAATGGTGCAATCTTGGCTCCTGCAACCTCTACCTTCTGGGTTCAAGTGATTCTCCTGCCTCAGCCTCCCAAGTAGTTGGGATTATGAGCACACACCACCACACCCAGATAATTTTGTATTTTTAGTAGAGAAAGAGTTTCACCATGTTGGTCAATTCATACTTGGCAGGCCCTGACCTCGCTCTTTGAAAGGATAAGGTACACATAGCTACTCAGATAATTTTGTATTTTTAGTAGAGAGGGAGTTTCACCATGTTGGTCAGGCTGGTCTCGAACTCCTGACCTCAAGTGATACACCTGCCTTGGCCTCTCAAAGTGCTGGGATTACAGGCGTGAGCTACCATGCCCAGCCTAAAAATATGCTTTTAAATCATCATCTCACCAGTGCAGTATAAAGCACCTTGCAATCTTGACATCTAACTTTAATCACCCCCAAACCCGCACATTCTAGCCCCACATCTCCCTACCCTAGTTTCTGGGATGCCAGCTGGCTGGGGGATTACTCCCAGCTAGTAACATGGAAAGAAAGATGACTTCCCTGCAGCCTTGGGTAAATGAGGAAAGAGGGTACAACTCCCACCTAGGGAGCCAGGTATAAACAGGTTTTGGCTAGAGAATGACTGGTTATGGTCCCAAGACTGGACATCAGTGAGGGGCAGTGATGGGCAAGGAGTGGGGAAAGAATAGGAAAACACACATGAAGACAACTCGACTCCTTATTTCTACACCACTCAGCCACACCCATAGAAGGCTTATTAGGAGACGTGACTAAAGTCCAAACTATATCTGCCCCAGGGAAGGAACTGTATTGTCTACAAACAGGGAGGATGTCTTCACCAAGGCCCCAGATGAGCAGTGACGGCTCCTAATTCAAGGAATAGACTCAATTCATTCTTGGCAGGTCCTGACCTCGCTCTTTGAAAGAACAAGGCACACATAGCTACTCACTTGTCCAAGTAACAAGATCGGCCTTCAGAGGATGCTCCTTTGAAGCTCTCAACGTGGGTCATGATCGCTCAGGTTTTCTAAGGATGACTACGACTTTTAGAAATAACTACAAGTTATCTGGAATCACAACTAGTTAAAAAAAAAAGGTGGTCATGCTTGGGGATACCATTTGGTATCCAAAAGTGCGGATATGAAAAAAGTCTCAAAAACAATTTTCTCACTGGGCTAAAAAACTGGCTCTGATGGAAACTTCTAGTGGTGGTTTACCACAATGGGCAATGAGCAATGGGACATCAACAATGCACGTGTATAGCTTCCTGAAGAAACACCAAAAGGAACGTCCCTCGCTTGCATTCTGGTACATTTGCTTCAGCTAGTTACACCCTACGGGCGTGTTTCCCATTAAGAGCCTGGTGGGGCACATACTGATTTGTCCTCAACTCCTCAAAATGAGTGTACTCCGCTGAGGAGTCTTATCTAAGAATCGTCTCCACTTCCCAGAGAAGAGCCTGTGCCCCTGAGCTGAGCAACCTTGAAAGGCACTCAGTTCCCAGCAGCATGCCCTCGGGCACACTGAGTCACACAGACCTCTGGGAGAGGAGACCCAAAATCCTGCACACGCAGACTGCTGACGTCGTCAAATAAAACCTATTAACTTAAAAGCCTGTTTGCCAGGTTTCTGTGTTATCTGAAATCCCAAGTACAGTGAGATGATTTGAACAAAGACTTCCCTCTCCCTGACTTGGGCTACATGAATGCTGATTATTTTGCTGGAGGGATGTGGGCTGAAGATGAAAACAGTGAGCTAGAGTTTGAACGCAACCTCCTCCCATCTGAAATGAACAAAAGAAGTTAGGACTAGACAAAATCAGTCTGGAGAAGCCCAGGTGAAGAGTAACTTGGTTCTCCTCTGAACTTTGTCAAGGATATGTGAAGTGAGCCTGGGCAGGAAGATAGTTTCTCTGTCCCTGTCTATAAAAGGAGTGTTGCTGCTTCCTGCATTCTCGGGACTAAATGCATATGACACTGACAGATGTAGGAAGAAAGAGAGGTTACAGATACAGAAAGTGTTGGGTCTGAAATCAGCTGGGTTTAGTTAATGGGATTTGGTTACTGGGAACCTCTCAATCCATGGTGTGAGCTGAAGCAGAATGAAGGAATCACAGCAAAATGTCTACGGTGCTGCAATAAGCAGGTCACCAAGACAAGTAACACCAACTCTTCAGGATAGGCACACAAAGTCAAGCAAGCAGAGGGACGAGGCTGTACTTGCTGAGCACCTACTGTATGCCAGGCACTTGGCCTGCATTATCTCACCTAACCCCGCAAAGTCAGTGTTAGTATCTCTATTTATAGAGGAGGAAACCAAGGCTCAGAGAGATGAATAACTTATTCAAGATGGAAACTGGACTCCAAAACCTGGGCTTTGCCACAGAGAGACCACTATGGCAGCTTCCAAGGTCTGAGAGAAGCAGGCTTTTGCTCTTTTCAGCCCTAAGACCAACCCCCAGATCAAGGAAATCCTAGGGTGGGGGAAAGAGCAAGAGCACAGAATAAGTGGAGCTCAGCCAAGTGCTGCAGCTTACTGACTCCTCCACAAGTCACATCAGTTCTCTGGACCTTGGTTTCCAGTTTTGAAAAATAAGTAGAAACTACCTCTCATCTCAAAAGGTAGTTGAGTGACTTGAAATGCCACTGAAAACCATAAAGCACCCAAGACACACAAAGCATCATTTGGAACTGTTACCAGTGAAGATCCCAGAATTTAAATCCCAGCTACACTTTATTTCCAAGGCATATGTCTCCAGAAACCTCAAGGTGCCAAACAATTAACTTCTAAACAGTCATCTCCTATAAACATCCCAATAGTATCTAATCTGAAAAGATATTGTTTAAAGCACAGTAACTCTGTGGCTGGAGGATTAGGTTCCTATTCTTTCCTCAGGAGAACAGTAATGTCAAGAATCATCAAGGGCTGGGAGCAGTGGCTCATGCCTATAAACCTAGCACTTTGGGAGGCTGAAGTAGGAGGATCACCTGAGGCCAGGAGTTCAAGACTAGTCTGGGTAATATAGCGAGGCTTTGTCTCTACTAAAATTAAATAAAAAAAAAAATTAGCTGGGTCAAGTGGCTCATACCTGTAATCTCAGCACTTTGGGAGGCCAAGGTGGGCAGATTGCTTGAGCTCAGGAGTTCAAGACCAGCCTGGGCAACATAATGAGACC